CTCAGGATTCTGATGAAATGCCACTTTCACAATGAAACCTTCCTTGGCCTCTCTATATAAAATAATATCTTACGCCACCATGCCATCCCCTCCTTCTGAATGCTTAAATTACTCCTTGGCAGATGTCAATATATATGATGTATTTATTTGTTTTTGTCTCTTCCCTCCACTAGATTTTAGGCTCCATGAGGATGAGAACTTTGATTTATTCACTGTTATATCTACAGAGCAAAGAACAGAGCCCAGGATTTTGTAAATGCTGGATGAGTATTAGTGAATGAATAAATGAATGAAATCTGAGTAGTGTAGAGAAATGATGACAGACAGGTGTGATGGTTAAGCAAGCATTTGAGTTTAACCGTAATAAATAAGGGCATTGCAGTATCCAAGAAAGAAGATGCATAGTGAAGCTCATTTATCTAAAGTGAATATCAAGTCTTACTCAATTTGGTATGCAGTCAGTAGTTTCTATTTTACATCACTCTATATTAACATAAGATGCTGTCAGTCCATGGACTAGCCCTTCTTCATAAAATAGCACACTAACTCCAGGCTCTGTAGAAAAGTGAGAACATTATGCCATTTTTTTGACTTTCAAAATAAGCATTATCAAAATTAAAAATGTATTTCTTTTGTAATATCTTGGGATTTACTATGAACTGATATTCAATTGGCTTTCCACCCACATCTCCCAACATTTTCCATCGACAATTTCTACCTGAGTTTCCTCTTTCTCCTTCCCCAGTTTTGCACATTGCCTTCCCTCTGTCTGAATGCTCTTCCAGCACTGTTGCTTATAAATTATTTTCTCTTCTTCTAAGACTCATGTCAACTGCCAGTCCCCTGACCAACCTTTTCCTGCATCACATAGGTGGATCAAGGTGCTCCTTCTTATGCTCTTATTGTACCGTGAACTCAGTTCTTGAAGGAAGAAACTAAATGTATCATACAGATAACCTGGTGTCTTTCACACTGCCTTACCTAGAGTAGGCATTTATTAAATATTTTCTGAATGAGAAAAAAATACATTATTTTTTTAATGTCACATACTTTGAACTCTGAGGGACAGAAAATACATAATTTCCTAATGTGAAAATGTAGTTTAGAGAAATTAACTAGAAAATTCCTCACTAAGATAATATGGTTTATTTTTATCCAATAAACAGGTTTATAATATATTTTAATATCTATAGATGTCCCCTCTGTGAAAACTTATGGCCCTGGTAAAGTTTAGTCACTGATTTATGTACATGCATTGCTTTTTGGTCTTTTTAAAAAGAGTAAGATTTTCTTTCCTATAGCTAGAAAAATTATGAAATAACTCTCATTTCTAACTCCATCCACCCCTTGAAACCCTCCTCCCTCCCCATTCTCTCTGGCAGGTGAGCTTGTCTTCTCTGCCAAAAGAGCCACTTGAAATGAGAACGTTATTTTATTAGAACCTACTTGGACCAAGTTAATCTGGAGAAAATATAAGAAAGAAAAAAGTTGCCATGTCATATGACCACACAGAAAAGTATAACTTATAAATGAATGGTTTAGCGGACAAAGTAGTTTTTTGCTGAATCTCAACATTAGTAATTTTAGAAATTAAAATACGTTGGTAAAAGGGCTGCTTCGGCAGACCTATAAGAAATCCAAGGAGTCAGAAAGCTAAATACGAGTTTGATGATTTTAAAGATACGCCCACAAGTTCTTTGATAGTCCTCTCCTTGAGAACTGCAGCTTAGCTGCCCCGTCTTTTAGTGTGGGATAGACTTAGTGATCCACTTTTATCAAAAAGAATTGTGGAGGGATGGGGATCACTTCCAAGATTAGGTTATAAAAAGATTTCAGCTACCAACTTGTGTACATTCAATATCTCACTCTGTCTCACTCTGTCCTTCTCACTCTCTGTCCCTCTCTTGTCTCTGGGTCTCTGTCTCTCTGTTTCTCTGATCACTCACTCTTGGGGGAAATCTGCTATGGCAGACAAAGCAATTCTGGGAAGGCGGAAGCCAGCTCCCATGTCCTGAGGATACTCAAACAGCCCAGTGGAGAAGTTCGCATAGCAAGAAACTGAGGCCCTCAGCCAGCAGCCAAGTGAGTAGGCCACTTTAGAATAGAAGCCATCAACCCCAGACAAGACTTCAGATGTCTTCAGCCCTAGCTGATGTGTTGACTACAACTCCAAGAAAGACCCTGTATTAGTTTTCTCTTGCTATGTAACAAATTACCACACACTTAGCGGCTTAACACAATATGTGTCCATTATCTGACAGTTTCTATGGGTCAGGAGTCCAAGCATAGCTTAAAAGAGTCCTCGGCTGAGGGTTTCACAGGGCTGAATCAAGGCTAAGCTGAATTTTTTTCTGGAGCTCAGGGTACCCTTCCAAGCTGCTGGCTGGCATTTCATTTCCTTGCAGCTCTAGAATTAATGGTGGTTTGCTTCTTCAAGGCCAGCAGGAGAGCTTCTCCAACCCTTAGATCCTCTTTTAAAGGGTTCATCTAAACAGTCAAGCCCATCCAGGATAATCTCCTTCTGAGGAACTGCAAGTTAGCAGATTAGAAACTTCCCTTCGTCTTTGCCATATTCTATTGATTAGGAGGGGACTGCATAAAGGTGTGGATACCAGGGGACAGGACTCAAGAGGGCCGTTTTAGAATTCTGCCTACCACAGACCCTAAATCAGGATCACCATCTAAACTGCTCCCAGTTTTCTGAGTTGCATGAGATAACCAATGTTCATTGTATTAAGTTGCTAAATTTGGGGATATTTTGTTACAAGGAAATAGCTAACTAATACAGTGAGGTTGCACTTGTGTGAATTACACTCAGGGAAAAAGTATATAGTATCTTCCCTCTTCTTTTCTTGATTCAGGAAGCCCACTTCTGCTGAAAGTGGATGTTGAAAGAATACTATATTAAGTTGGCTTATAATCTTTGGATTTCACATGAAGATCTTACAGGAAAAATAGCACAAAGAACTAGAAATTGCAGAAGATAATCCCAATACTGAAAAATTAATTTAAGAAAGAGATACTCACAGAATTGGCACTAATTCTTACATAGAGCTATTCTTTTTACAAGTGCCGGAGCATTAATATAATACCATTTTTGAGGTCAAAATAGAGTAGAAACTTAGAGGCAGAATCATCTTATAGCCAAATCAAATAAATATTTCTTGCTAACATGTCGGGAATTAAAATTTTTCATATTGAAAATGATGACATATTTTCTTTTCATTGAAAATGAATTCCCATTGAATGAAATTCTGCTCTGTAACAAGTGGGGTTAAAACAGTTTCCATACAGATGTACTATGTAACCTTCTTTATTACTTAGTAGTGATAACAATTAGGAGTGGTGACACTGATATGTATTTACATAAAAAGATTTCTTCATTATACGTGAAACTGAAAGTTAATGAAAATAACTCTAACCTTTGAATTCTCAAAGAAGATTTCTGCATAATCTCTCTTTTTCAATAGATAGCTGATCTTCTTGGGGATAAGTGTTGTTATTGTGTGTGTTACTTATGGATTACTCAAAAATCATGAATTATCTGTAGATCATCTTACTTTCAAATGCTTGTTAGTTACTTAATCTGCCACTTACATAACAGATTTAATAGAATATTTATTTTAATAAAATAATCATTTCAAAAATATAACATTAAAAAAATAGTTATTACCTCTATTTTGGGGGTACAAAGCCAGAGAAGACAACTCTGCTTTGGTGAGATTATTTGTATCAATCAAATAGATGATTGAATTTGTTTGTTGTTTAGAAAGTGGGGACAGATTAGGATCTAAGAAATATGGCTATAGGAATGTGGATAGTGAGTTCATTATGACTGGTCTTTACTGTTTTGGAGAATTCCCAGTATAGAAGTGATATCTTCATTCACATATAAGTATAAATAAAAATTTAAAGTCAAATATAAGGTGATTTTAGATGCTTGGCCTTTTTACTTGTTACATATTACCATTTTTGCAACATGGAGAATATTGAGGAATTGGTCCTATGTCCAACCTACATCTTACCTTCTTGGCCAGTAGCATAATTTCAAAGTAGAAATGATGAAAAAGAGAGAGTAGGAGGAAACAGTAAACAATCAAAAATTTTCCTGAGGAGAAAGAAGTCTCTGATATCTAACTGATGACAAGGCAATTTATAAATATGAGGATTCCAGAAAGCAATTTTATAATATCGCCTTAAGCAACAATAAGACTCTAGAAACAGAGGATTTAGGGTAATGGTGGAATGAGCTTTGCAAAGCCCTTCTATACCATTATTTCATTTCACCCTCCCAAGTTCCCTGTGAGTGCCTAAGGCAGGAGACATCTCTGCCTTTTTTGAATGAGAAACTCAGTCTCAGAAACACCGTTATTGGTCCAAGGTTGCAGAGCTATTACATAGTAGACCTAGGAAGGAACCTCGAGTCTTATAACTAGTTTTCTAAAGTTTTGTCCACTAGGAAAGTCACCTTGACTCATCCATAGAAGATACCTTTAAAATTGGATGTCCAAGAACCAATAAGAACCAAAGAATCTTAATTGTAAAATGAGAATGTTAGAATTTTATAACTCTCAGACTCATAGAAATCATCCCGGAGAATTTAAGTGACTTAGCCTGGGTCTTACAGGCAGCCTTGCAAAAGCTCTGTAGGGTAGGTTTTACCGCTTTACTGAAGAGAAGTAGATTTACTGTGTAAGATTAAATAGCTAATGAGCACTGGAACCATGAGTCTCCACCTCATGCAGTTTCTGGAGCCTAGTGCATCTCAGGGATTTCTAGTTACATTACTCCAAATTGGTTGTTCATACCCTAGAACCATTGTCTAAGAGTGTAGGAAACTGCAGAATAAACTGGACATATCTTTCCAGAGGGTCCACTTTACTCAGCACTGACCACTATAGCACAGTTTTCTTATGCTAAGACAATCACAAGTATATCCTAGGCTGCAAAACCAAATGAATTATTAAAATAAAAGAGAAGACGTCAAAGATATTTCTCACATTGGTGGTTTCTTGGATTCTGCTCCCAAGCTCCATGGGTGTTTATCTACTTTCTTCTGAAGTTGGAGTACTGTTTGGAAAAAGTTAGGCAAGCATCACTTTAGAACACAAAGCCTCTTCAGTTCTTTTCATTTCTTTCCATGATACAATCCTCTAGAGTGAACCCAGATTCCAATTCACACTCTTTTCTCAAAATCCCAGGTTATAACATTGTCATTAATTATTCTACGACTTAGGAATTCCTTATACATCTTAAAACATACATTCTTAGTCTTCCGATTGGATGAAAAGACATCTCCTTCAAAATCTTGACAAAGGAATGCTGTGTGCTTTCTAAATCCAACACTTCTATTGTAAATACTTACAGTATCGCCAGTTTTGCACTGACTTCTCATTGTTGGATTGACTTCTGCTTCCTGCTCCATTTGGCATGCCTCCTGGATTTTCATGTTGGACCTATCTTAGAACTTCCGCTTGGATGTTCCACCTAGCCGAGAATCCCTCTCCTTTCCCTGCCACCCATCCAACTCCCATAAGCTATGACCCCTCTTCTTGCTACCTCAGATCTATGATACTCTCCAATAAAATCAAGGATGATATTTTACTTAAAAACTGAGATATAAATTGAATGAAAAAATAAACTGAATTTATAGAATGCTCTGACCCCCTTCAAATACCATAAGTGAAATAATGTTGCCATCCTCATTGGGCCATAGCTGAATTTCTACTATTTGTTCTTCCTTGCCCCCACCTCCAGATTTCTAAGATAATAAAAATGTGTGTATCTTCTCTGTCTTAAAATATTAGATACTTTGTATTGACAGGTGCAAATATTTTTGAGGTGGTAAGAAAATATACTTTTTCTTTTCCTTTTCTAATAGACTTCATTTTTAGAGCAGTTTTAGGTTTACAAAAATTAAGCAGATATTACAGAGTTCTCATGTACTCCTTTTTTGCCCCCTCAAGTTTTCCCCTATTGCTAACATCTTGCATTAGTGTGGTGCATTGGTTAAAATTGATGAACTAATATTGATACATTATTATTAACTAAAGTCTATAGTTTATATTTGGCTTCATTCTTTGTGTTACAGTTCTGTGGGTTTTAACTAATACAGAATGTCATGCATCCACCATTACAATATCGTGCAGAGTATTTTCACTGCCCTAAAATTCCCCTTTGCTGCACGTATTCAACCCTTCTGCCTCCTCCTTAACCCCTGGCAACCACTAATCTTTTTCCTATGTCTATAATTTTGCCTTTTCTGAAATGTCATATACCATATGTAACCTTTTTAGACTGGCTTCTTTCACTAAGCAAGACCCATTTAAGTTTCCTGCATGTCTTTTTGTGGCTTGATAGCACATTCCTTTTATCATTGAATAATATTTCATTGTATAGATATACCACAGTTTGTTTACGTTTTTGTGAAGGACATCTTGGTTGCTTCCAGTGTGGCACTATTATGAATAAAGCTGTTGTAAATATCTGTGTGCAGGTTTCAGGGTGAACCTAAGTTTTCAAGTTATTTGAGTAAACACCTAGTAACGTGATTGCTGGACCATATAGTAAGATGATATTTAGCTTTGTAAGAAACACAACCTGTTTTTCAAAGTGGCCGTACCATTTTGCATTCCCACCAACAATCAGTGACAGTTACTGTTGCTCCACATTTTCACCATCATTTGATATTGTCAGGTTTTTGCATTTTAGCCATTCTAATAGGTATTGAGTGCTTTTTGCAATTATTTTTTTTCATATTGTTCGTTTCTCTTCAAGGTTGACAGTCTATTTAAATACTAAGCTGTATTCCTGCTAAATTAAAATCAAACTCGGGCCAGCCCTGACTGCCTAGTGGTTAAAGTTTGGCGTGTTCTGCTTTGGCAGCCCAGGTTTGGTTCCCAGGTGCAGAACACCACCACTCATCTGCCAGTAGCCATGCCGTGGTGGCGGCTCATATAGAATAACTAGGAGAACTTACAACTAGAATATATGACTATGTACTGGGGCTTTGAGGGGGCAAAAAAAGAATAGAGAGGAAGATTGGCAACAGATGTTAGCTCAGGGTGAATCTTTCCCAGAAAAAACAAAAAACAAAAAACATCAAACTTAAGCTCTACATGTGTCCATTTTTTAAAAAAAAAGTAAAATATTTATAAATCTAGAAATTTCCTCAATAAATTGGTGACAAATTTGAATGGGATAAAACAAAACTCCTAGTCCACAATATTATGCAAGCTGAGTTTAGAAGAGACACTTAATAAATATCTCCAACTAGAAAAGAGGTGTTTATGTTGTTTCTATCACGAAGAGTGAGCCAATTCCATCTTGAGCATAAGAAATGAAAGGAATAAATGCATATAACTTGAGCTTTTTAAAATCAAATTCAAAGTCACCAAAGTTATTTTTGCTGAGATGTAAGCAAGACTTCAGACACCGATAAGGCACCTGACATTTTCAGCAAGGAAAAGGTGACGGGGAACTTACTAACAGTGTAGGTAGATTTCTTCATAAGGGAAGGCTTAGAGATAAGACAATATCCATTTCATGAATAACAACCAACTATATGGATTCACATCACACTTTGGAAAAGGAAACAGCTAGGAGCTTGATGAGGGTCCACAGAAAGCAAAGACATAGTCAATAACTAATATACTCTTCTCCTGAGAGGAGCAGGATGATACATTGGGAAGAGAATGGATTTTCCAGACTGAAAGACTTGAGATGGGAAAAGATTTACTGTCTAGTAATAACAGATGCTTGCGAGTTCTGTAGAGGCTTTGAGGTAGTACCATGTGTTGCAAGTTGGGGGTTGCAGGAAACAGATTCTTAGAGACAGAGTGTAGCATGCAGGGTGTTTATTAAGAATTGCCTTTGGGATCAACAGCCATGTTGAAAAGGGGAGAGAAGCAGGATTGAGCAGAGGGGAAAGTGGGCCTGCTAGGTCAATCCAATAGCACTGGCCAAACCCCTGGGGAGTTCTGAGGCTGAAATAACCCAAGAGAGTTGCTCCAATTTGGGCTAAATGGACCAGGAGTTTCTACCTTTGCCTCCATCAGTCACTGGGTATGGGCCACCCCTGGAAGGGCATGATCTTGGGAAAAATGAATCTTTACAGCTGAAGAGGCTCCTAGCTGAAGGCTGAATGCTGACAACACTCTTAGTATTTATGGGTATCTGGGTGGGACACATCTGTGTTCACCACAGGCTTCTCCTTACACCTCTATGGTCCCTTTCTTCATATACATTCACAGAACAGCTCCTCCAGGATCCCAGCAAGTGTCTTTTCCTTGAGGAAACTTAGAAGAGAAAGTCTAGAGGGACCAACTATAGTGCCAGACACTGCAGCTGGTCTTCAGGCTGCAACCAATAATCCTCCTCTCTCTGTTTTTCCATCCATTCTATGTTCCTTTCACCTTCAGGTGCTAGTCTTAGTGGCTTACTTGGTGATGTAACCTAGATCCTCATCTCTTATTAGTATGAGCTCGCAGTCACCATAGCCTTCTCAAACCAGGATTGTTGCACTTGTCTATTTGCCAGCACAGCTGAGCAGAGAAATATCAAGTGATGCTCAAGTAAATGCTAGATGCCAAACACATTCTTCCCTGTCCCCACTAAGTAATAGCAGTCCTACTTCCTCCCAATGTCAGGTCAATTACCCAGGCCAAGTTGTTTGCTGATCCCTGCACACAAGAGGACTAAAATACCCGGGCAGCTTTATAGTTCAATAAGACTATTGCTGTGTCACCTGACTGTAGTGGTCTCCTTTTGGGAACAGGAACTATTGACTTTGCAGAGACCAGACTTATGGAAATGGGATAACCAAATTCCCCCACTGAGTCAATGGGAGTGATTATAAGTGAAGCAATTCCTGCTTCTTGTCTTGGGTTTATAAACCCATGTACTCTCTATTGGGAGCACAGCACCATGTAAAATGTTTTGATTCAAGGGATATACAGCAAACTGGAGGATAAGTGCTCCAGCCTCAAAGTGTGGACTATGACCTGGAATGTGCATTTTGCCTCTAGTTGGCAAACACTTTATCAGGTCAATAGATTCTGAATGATACAGAATATGATATAAACAGTGAATCCCATGGTAGGAAGGTCACTGTTTTGATGTAAAGTGGGCTCTTTATTGGGAAACAATATTATATGGGATCCAGTACTGGTAGGCCAAACATTCTCTAAGACATTAAATAGTGGTGCTGGCTGAGGCAGCACAGGTAGGAAAGGAAAACTCATGCAGAAATACATGTCTAGAGAAGAGTGGGCAGAGCAAAATGGAGGGGCGAGCTGACCCGGGATTCTCTCCCCTCCAAAATACAACAAAAGATTGGAAGAACTGAATTTCAGAGAATAAACATAATGCCAGCTTGTTAGAGACCTAGAATACCAAGAAGGCGGAGATCATAAACCTAGCTTTACCCCTTCGGAGGCGCTGGAACGGTAGGAGAGAACATCGCTCCCTCCCCTAGAGTCTGCGATCGCTGCGGCGCGGGTCGGGAAGGAGCGGGGGAGGGGCTGCGCAACCGGGGGATCATCCAGGGGATCGACTCCTGCCGCTGATTCAGTGGAGACCCGCTGACGGGGGAAAGCTTCCGTCTGCGGGGACCCTATAAATCAAGGGCCTTGGGAGACCAGAGAACAGAACTGATCTGAACCCAGACCAGCGCCTGTGAGTAACAGCCCCTCCCCCCCAGCAAAGCCAGTGGGCGCAGCCATCTTGCCCCAAGGCGGAGAGCTAACACGCCACTCTCGACCCCCATCTAGTGGCGACAGGCTGTAACTGCAACTGAATTCTACCACCATGAGAAAAAACCGCTCGTCTACCATCCAGCAATTTATAAAAGCCCCAGACCAGAAGGAAAACAATAAAAACACAGAATTAAGTCCTGAGGATTGGAATTAGGTAAACTAAGTGATAATGAATTCAGAGCAGCTATAATCAAAAAACTCAATGAGGTAGAGAGAAAGATAGAGAAACAAGCCGAGTTCTGGAGTTACTTCACAAAAGAGATTGAAATCATAAAGAAGAATCAAACAGAATTACTTGAGATGAAAAACACAATG